CTCCCTTTTCCATTCTTGTTAACGTAACGGTGCTGAGCCGTGCCGACTGCTGACTAGTCCACTTGGCTGATTGGAAAAAGAGGCTCCACTCTTGACTGTGTTTCTTCTAGTTAAGGGGAGATGAGCGTCCGGCGAAGGCAGAATCCAACAGGACGGATCGCAGCGGTCTATCTGGACTCAGTATTGATCCCCCTCACACACAGAGAGGGGCTTCGAGCCAAAGATAAACAGTTCATTTGCTGGATGAGAACAAAGATCCAAAAAGAGTCTGAATGGGACGTGTTCTGTCTTTGTCTGTGCGTCATATTATTCCACTTAGTCGAACTCAAGTTGGCCTAAAACGTCCCGTACTGCGTCTGCTTCAAACACTGCCATCACTCAGGACTTTTACTGGGAAACCACGTCTTTTTCCTTCTTCTGTTCATGTCCAGATCTTTGTCAATGTGCAGCCAAATTAATTAATGTAAAAATAGCGGAGGACCAACTGTTCCTGCTACGATCCTGGAGACTATAATTAGGACATACACAAATACACTGCATTTATTTAGGACATGACAAATGCTTTGTTTAAATGGTAATGTTATATAATCCAGGCCACCCAGTTTTTGGACAGATTCAGATGAAACAGTTGAGTTTTTTTTTTCCCCCACTGCATTTTCATTTTAATAAATCCCCTCAAAGCAAGTGAAAACACTACATTATAACTCGCTAGCACTCGCAATAAATAAACAGGGGGATGTAACAAATGTGTGTGTGCCCAGTAGTTGCATCAGGAATTGCAAACATTAGCCAAACATTTAGAAAAAAAAAAGATTTATAGAGATAAAACAGAGAGTTCATCTAATATTTGGGCTCGTGTTAGCTATAAGTTAGCAGTTAGCAACAATTGGCACACAAGTAAAATAGCAAAAGTAGCTAAAGAAAGGCCTAAATGAAACAAACAGATTATTTAAATTTAGGCTTGACTGACAAATTTAGTCCGTCTGTAATTAGTAACAATTAACAAAGACATTGAATTTGGTTAATGAATGGCTAAAAGGTAGACGCAACAGCTTGTAAGAACTGAAGCTAAGTGGACACAGTGGTGCTTATTATATAGTTTATTATGGGATCCATACCACCTAGTCCCCAAATCCCAGCGTGAGGAAGGACCCCCCCCCCCCCCCCCCACGATTGCTGAAGTAGAAGCCCCCGGAAGTAAAAAAAAAATGACTGCAAGTGAGTCTAAAGTTGCAAGACACTAGCAAAAAAAAAAAAGACCAAGACAGCGAAAAAAAACACGAAATAGCTTATAATTAATGTACGTAAGATCTAGGTCATTCAACAGTTAGCTAAACATAATTAACAACAACAATGTGAATGGAAAAACACCAGGAGGGAGTTAATCAAAACAGCAAAAAGTGACACAAGCTCAGAATAAAACCTTTCATCAAAGCTACTAAATGCCATGTCTGCACAAATATAACAGATACAAATTGACAGAGCAGCTAAATTTACACAAACACAATCAAATGCTCTCTAACAGGTGGTAACAACATGAATACACTAGCCTAACCAAAGGGATCATGACACATAATTAAAAGCAGCAGAAAGCCTGTTCAAAAACTATCCCCCCCCACACACTCCCCCCTCCCATTAAAACCACATTAAACTCACTCATGTGTCACCGTTGGCCCACAAGCCTGATTTTGAATATAGCGGTGTAAAACTGAAAGTGATCAAACAGTTAAACTGGTTAGACTTTAAAATGAAAACCAACAAAGCCTCGGACCGTCACTCCTGGGCCTCACAGGACAGAGTGAAGCCTGTTGTTCTGCGGAGGTACGATCGTTGCAGCATTTCTCTGGTTTTTCTTATGAAATCGCACACTCATCAGCATGTGTCTGACTCTGATCTACAACATCAACATCGCCGCTGCCTGTTTCTGGACTTGGCAGGCGATGGAGAGGAATAGTTTTTGGATATGATTTGACCTCCTCCCTCTCTGCTTCACACACATGGACAGTTTTGTAACTTGGCTGCAGTAAGTGTTTCTCTGTAAGGCTGTACACTGTGTGCCGGGCTTTGAGAGGAAGGCTTTGATGTAATCAATATCAGATTTCACTGCGAGCTCCGTCCGGCGTGGCGGCCTTGACTGACTCCTCTCCTTCTCTCCTGTTCCCCACCTCCTCACCTTATTTCCCTTCCTCTGCACCTGCATCACTCTTCCTATATCCGTCTGTCTGTCTCTGCTCCGTCTCCTCGTCCTCTTCTTTCCACCTCTGCCTTCATCCCACCCCCCCCCCCCCCCCCCCAACCCCCCCTGCGCCGTCTTTTTCTGAGGCACGGATGTGTTTTCACCGCTGCCTCCTTGTCTAACTGGCTGGTGCGAGATTATTGCTGTATGATTACAGCTACCATACCATCATGATCATTATTGCATTTTCTCGTGGCAGTGTTCAACACTGAATGAGCAGGTTCGAGATGCTTTATCCAATTTAGATCTCATTAAGACATGAGAGGAAATATCAGCCCCATGCGCTGTTTTCCTTTCTCTCTCACCCCCTTTTTTTTTTTAATTTTCAGAGCTGCGAGCGTTATTATTGCAGTGTCACTCTCATCAGCATCCTCCTCATCAGTGTCAGCGTTACTTCACGCCCTCCTCCCCCTGTCTCCCCCCTGTGTGCCTCATCAAAGCGCTGCCTTCGCGTTGAAAAACATTTTTTTGAGGAGTTTTGATTTGCAGCGACGTGTTCACTCCACTGTCATTATCACAATAATGATTATGACAGGATGCAATGGCTGCTTGATAACATATTCTGCTGATTTATAATATTGGGTATTTTTGTCGCCGCGTCCTTCTGTTGTCTGATTGCCATTCATCTCATTAAATGGAGCAGTTCATTAGACAGAAACGTTATGAGTCTCATTTGAATTCTCAGCCACATTCACATTGCATACATTGGTTAAAAAAACACACACGCGTGACATTTGGGCTCCAACAGGCATCTGAGAAGACAGAGACAGATGAATATGTATTTACCATCGCCATCTCCTCAAGCCCCGCCTTCCTCCCCCACCTCCCTCACTTGTTCCAAAAGCTACTCTGGAAATGATAAAGTGTGAATCACAGGTGAACTCTCCTACGCCTTTGCCTTTGTCTTTGCACTTTCAATGTCAATATTTGCATATCTAATTCAAGAGCAGCGTTCGAGCAGCTGACACCTTTTTTTTTTTTTTTTTTTACTGCATTTGCTTAAATCAGAAGGCTGTAGTTTTGCAGCTCCTTCGCATTTAAAGCCCTGTTTAGCTGTGGTATATCCTGAAGAGCAAACCTGACGGCAGGGGGGCTCCAGGAAGGATCTGCCAGATGGAAACAGAAGGAACTGATGAGGATTAGCAAAGATCCAACATTTGACACGGTCTCTGCATATGAAGCAGTTTGTCTAGCTTCAATACGAACCCACTGTTGGATCTCCAATCCTTCTCAAGACTTAACAAGTTTATTATCTGGGAAACATCATTCACAGCTGTGAATATAAAATCATTTACTCACCCTTCAATATATTAAAAACCTGTCGGTTATTTTTAAATCTAACATCGTATAGAGGACATACAGAGCTGTGAGGTCATTCAATTTATTGGTCGTAGTGAGCTAACTTGCTAACAGCTAATCGTTCTTAAGGAACGTTCTGGAACTGCCTATTACATGTAAATAACTGCAGTATAAAAGAGCGGCGTTAAAGGAACCTCTGTTCACAAATCATTCGCCCTCCCGTGCTTTTGTACTACAACAAGGACAGCGGTCCAATCAAACTGTTGTGCTTCAGCTGAAGGTTAGGCATCACTGTGCATGTAAACGTACTGTATGTTATTTCTGGTTCAGATCATATCGCTGCACACGTTGGCCCACAGCTGACCTGAACATCATTATTCTGATGAGATGTAATTCTTTTTTCCTTTGGGGCCTTGCCTGTCAATCTGTGTGTTTAACGGCTATATCTGAGAGCCTTCGTACGCCTGTGATGTTTCATCGTCCCGATTCATCCCCACATGACTAAACTGTGCGTATGCACGTGTCCGTGTGTGCGTTTCTCATGCAGTGCGGTGAGGGGCCGATGAAGGGCTGTAGCCCCCGTCCGCTGAGCTGAGACAGGAGAAGCAGCAGAAAATGCAGTGGGTCACTCTGGCTGTGGCCCTAGGGTGTGTGTGCGTGTCACAGGCATCGCACAGCCCCACCCCTACACCCACCTCCACACACACACCGCTGGTGGACAACTCTGAGGAGGAAGTGGACGAGCCCTGCTTCGAGCCGTGCACGTGTGAGGTCAAGGAAGGAGTGCTGCACGTGCACTGTGACGGACGTGGCTTCACCAATGGCAGCCAGGTAGCACTGCTACAGTAATATGGTGCAAAAATACCAAGGCAGGCAATCAGGAAATGCAGTAGAACAGCTGAACGTTAGCCTGAAGTGTAAAGGTTAGCCAGTGGAAAACAAAAAGGAAGTTGAAGAAATGGCTAAAAGTTGGGCAGATTTGCTTTAAATCATCTTTGACATAAGTGACAAAAGTCACCCAAGAGAAAAACGTATTGAAATATCACAATGTTTTATTAGACAAACTAAATGAATGGATGGATGATGAATTAAATGACAGAGAGGAGCTAAAGATTTGCAGTTTACCTTCCTTTAGCTTAAGCAGGCCAGAATTTTACAAAATCCAAAAGAATGTAACGATAGGTAGAAAATAGCTAAAAGTAAAAACTAGCTGGAACAAATTCAAAAAGTCCTTAAGAATAGCTAATGGTAACAGCAAATATCCATATACTACTAATGAATATCACTACAAAATATTCTTAGCCTGACATTGTAACATATATAGAGTACTATAATTAGCTCAGAAATCGCAATAATTAGAAAAACTAATGGAAAGGAGATTTAGCTACATCATTGTTAGCAGAAATTGTTCGATGTTAATGCAAAAATAGATTAAATTAAACAAATGACAAAAGGTAGTTGGGTAAAAACTATACTAAAATAAATTCTCGTACTCTACTCTGTTTATTGTGTACTCTCTGTGTGTACTTTTCTCAGAAAAGCCAATGACAAACTAGTTTTGTTTAATCACTGTGGCAGTGCTAAAGCTATAAAGCTAACAGTGTCACTGACAAAGACCTTGTACAGTAACAGATGCCTGTAACTCTGCACTGCACAATCCGTGACATTTACCGTATGCCCATCTCTGATACCCTGTCTTTTATGTGTATTATGGCTGTTTGTCATCCATGACATTAATAAGATAACTGGTCAGACCTTTAATTAATCACTCAGGTGTCACAGTCATGGGTCCGCCCTTTCAAACTCAACCTCCAAAGGAACTCTCTGAGGCGTCTCTATAGCAACGGGTTCCAGCACCTCGGCAATGCAGTGTCGATAAACCTGGGCAACAATGCCCTCCAGGACATCCGAGTCGGGGCTTTCCACGGACTGGCCAAATTGAGACGACTGTACCTCCACGAGAACAAGCTGGAGGTCTTCAGAAATGACACCTTCCTGGGTTTAGAGGCTCTGGAATACCTCCAGGTAGGTCCGAGGATGGAATCTGCCTTGTTTTCTAATTCCTACGGTTCAGACTGAGACTGACAGGAATATTGACAAAGTGGTTCAAGATTATATTAGGCAGCTCTGATAGAAATAGTCTGTGCCGGGCAGGTGGTCCGGAGTGAAACGATCTTCTCAAGATCTGTGTGTGATTTCAAGCGGAGAGCGTTTCAGCTTTGAGTTGACTCCCTTTTTCTCCACTGAAGCAATTTATCACTCTTTCATTTTTTGTATTATTGCAGTGTCACTCTCATCAGCATCCTCCTCATCAGTGTCAGCGTTACTTCACGCCCTCCTCCCCCTGTCTCCCCCCTGTGTGCCTCATCAAAGCGCTGCCTTCGCGTTGAAAAACATTTTTTTGAGGAGTTTTGATTTGCAGCGACGTGTTCACTCCACTGTCATTATCACAATAATGATTATGACAGGATGCAATGGCTGCTTGATAACATATTCTGCTGATTTATAATATTGGGTATTTTTGTCGCCGCGTCCTTCTGTTGTCTGATTGCCATTCATCTCATTAAATGGAGCAGTTCATTAGACAGAAACGTTATGAGTCTCATTTGAATTCTCAGCCACATTCACATTGCATACATTGGTTAAAAAAACACACACGCGTGACATTTGGGCTCCAACAGGCATCTGAGAAGACAGAGACAGATGAATATGTATTTACCATCGCCATCACCTCAAGCCCCGCCTTCCTCCCCCACCTCCCTCACTTGTTCCAAAAGCTACTCTGGAAATGATAAAGTGTGAATCACAGGTGAACTCTCCTACGCCTTTGCCTTTGTCTTTGCACTTTCAATGTCAATATTTGCATATCTAATTCAAGAGCAGCGTTCGAGCAGCTGACACCTTTTTTTTTTTTTTTTTTACTGCATTTGCTTAAATCAGAAGGCTGTAGTTTTGCAGCTCCTTCGCATTTAAAGCCCTGTTTAGCTGTGGTATATCCTGAAGAGCAAACCTGACGGCAGGGGGGCTCCAGGAAGGATCTGCCAGATGGAAACAGAAGGAACTGATGAGGATTAGCAAAGATCCAACATTTGACACGGTCTCTGCATATGAAGCAGTTTGTCTAGCTTCAATACGAACCCACTGTTGGATCTCCAATCCTTCTCAAGACTTAACAAGTTTATTATCTGGGAAACATCATTCACAGCTGTGAATATAAAATCATTTACTCACCCTTCAATATATTAAAAACCTGTCGGTTATTTTTAAATCTAACATCGTATAGAGGACATACAGAGCTGTGAGGTCATTCAATTTATTGGTCGTAGTGAGCTAACTTGCTAACAGCTAATCGTTCTTAAGGAACGTTCTGGAACTGCCTATTACATGTGAATAACTGCGGTATAAAAGAGCGGCGTTAAAGGAACCTCTGTTCACAAATCATTCGCCCTCCCGTGCTTTTGTACTACAACAAGGACAGCGGTCCAATCAAACTGTTGTGCTTCAGCTGAAGGTTAGGCATCACTGTGCATGTAAACGTACTGTATGTTATTTCTGGTTCAGATCATATCGCTGCACACGTTGGCCCACAGCTGACCTGAACATCATTATTCTGATGAGATGTAATTCTTTTTTCCTTTGGGGCCTTGCCTGTCAATCTGTGTGTTTAACGGCTATATCTGAGAGCCTTCGTACGCCTGTGATGTTTCATCGTCCCGATTCATCCCCACATGACTAAACTGTGCGTATGCACGTCTCCGTGTGTGCGTTTCTCATGCAGTGCGGTGAGGGGCCGATGAAGGGCTGTAGCCCCCGTCCGCTGAGCTGAGACAGGAGAAGCAGCAGAAAATGCAGTGGGTCACTCTGGCTGTGGCCCTAGGGTGTGTGTGCGTGTCACAGGCATCGCACAGCCCCACCCCTACACCCACCTCCACACACACACCGCTGGTGGACAACTCTGAGGAGGAAGTGGACGAGCCCTGCTTCGAGCCGTGCACGTGTGAGGTCAAGGAAGGAGTGCTGCACGTGCACTGTGACGGACGTGGCTTCACCAATGGCAGCCAGGTAGCACTGCTACAGTAATATGGTGCAAAAATACCAAGGCAGGCAATCAGGAAATGCAGTAGAACAGCTGAACGTTAGCCTGAAGTGTAAAGGTTAGCCAGTGGAAAACAAAAAGGAAGTTGAAGAAATGGCTAAAAGTTGGGCAGATTTGCTTTAAATCATCTTTGACATAAAAGTCACCCAAGAGAAAAACGTATTGAAATATCACAATGTTTTATTAGACAAACTAAATGAATGGATGGATGATGAATTAAATGACAGAGAGGAGCTAAAGATTTGCAGTTTACCTTCCTTTAGCTTAAGCAGGCCAGAATTTTACAAAATCCAAAAGAATGTAACGATAGGTAGAAAATAGCTAAAAGTAAAAACTAGCTGGAACAAATTCAAAAAGTCCTTAAGAATAGCTAATGGTAACAGCAAATATCCATATACTACTAATGAATATCACTACAAAATATTCTTAGCCTGACATTGTAACATATATAGAGTACTATAATTAGCTCAGAAATCGCAATAATTAGAAAAACTAATGGAAAGGAGATTTAGCTACATCATTGTTAGCAGAAATTGTTCGATGTTAATGGAAAAATAGATTAAATTAAACAAATGACAAAAGGTAGTTGGGTAAAAACTATACTAAAAGAAATTCTCGTACTCTGCTCTGTTTATTGTGTACTCTCTGTGTGTACTTTTCTCAGAAAAGCCAATGACAAACTAGTTTTGTTTAATCACTGTGGCAGTGCTAAAGCTATAAAGCTAACAGTGTCACTGACAAAGACCTTGTACAGTAACAGATGCCTGTAACTCTGCACTGCACAATCCGTGACATTTACCGTATGCCCATCTCTGATACCCTGTCTTTTATGTGTATTATGGCTGTTTGTCATCCATGACATTAATAAGATAACTGGTCAGACCTTTAATTAATCACTCAGGTGTCACAGTCATGGGTCCGCCCTTTCAAACTCAACCTCCAAAGGAACTCTCTGAGGCGTCTCTATAGCAACGGGTTCCAGCACCTCGGCAATGCAGTGTCGATAAACCTGGGCAACAATGCCCTCCAGGACATCCGAGTCGGGGCTTTCCACGGACTGGCCAAATTGAGACGGCTGTACCTCCACGAGAACAAGCTGGAGGTCTTCAGAAATGACACCTTCCTGGGTTTAGAGGCTCTGGAATACCTCCAGGTAGGTCCGAGGATGGAATCTGCCTTGTTTTCTAATTCCTACGGTTCAGACTGAGACTGACAGGAATATTGACAAAGTGGTTCAAGATTATATTAGGCAGCTCTGATAGAAATAGTCTGTGCCGGGCAGGTGGTCCGGAGTGAAACGATCTTCTCAAGATCTGTGTGTGATTTCAAGCGGAGAGCGTTTCAGCTTTGAGTTGACTCCCTTTTTCTCCACTGAAGCAATA